TCATCGATTGAAAATATTTAAATCCTATTTTTAAGGAAAAATATTTATTATTTAATTTAGATACTTCAAAAATACCAAAAATTTTGTTTTAATACCTAAATAATTACCATAAACTATAAAATAACTCCTATTTTAACGCCTCAGTTTATTTCATCCACAAAAAAAAAATTTCATTTGGTGCCAAAGTCAATACTTGATACCCTTTCGCTTTTATCACTTCGTCAAGTTTCTTTATCATTTCTTCAAGTCTCTTCGGCATTAAACCAACAAGTTTTCTTGTACAAGTTCTTCTTATGAGATAGCCATTTTTAAGTCTTCTTTGTTGGAAATAGTATATTGCCGAATGTTTTGTTTCAATATTGTCCATAAAGTTTCAACAACATTCATGTCTGGGCTCTGCACCGATGATGTCATCAGATGTCCGCAGTTCCAAATTAATCAAGATTGTATGATGCCGGCCTTATGTTCTGGATCATTGTGTTGGTAAAAGCGAAATGTTTCAGGACTTCTAAGTTTCACGGCACTTCGGAGTAAATTTTTTTTCAAAACGTTGAGGTATATTGTTTTGTTCATGTTACCATCAATAAACTTCAGATTTCCAATGCCGGCGGTTGACATACAGGCCCAAACCATAACACTTCTACTGCCATGCCTTACTGTAGCTTTTAAATATTCTTTTTTGAGCTCAGTATTTGGTTTCCGCCATACTTAAGTCATGCCATCTGAGCTAGAAATATTGAATTTTGACTCATCTGAGAATATGATGATGTTCCAGAAGTCAAATTTTTTGGGCATGCTCCTTAGCATAAGCAAGCTAACTGCTCTGATTTTTTTGCTTATGAAGGGTTTTTTTTTGCTACTCCACAATAAAGTGGGAGTATCGAAGCATGCGGCGGACAGTTTCCGCTTTTTACGTATAGCGCGGTTTCTGTACTTGAACGGAATTGAAAACACAGAAGCTATATTTAAACTTGAAAATTATTTATTACGCTCTGTTTATTTAGTTAAGCCGGAAACTTGAAACTTCTTCTTAGAAAATAATTTTCTTTTTTTTATTGTTTGAATTGTAATCCAGCTTACTGTGATTATTAAAAATATCGACGACTACATTATTCCCCCTTCCGAAAAAGCACCTTGCTACCGTAACGCAAAGTGTATACCTTACGATCGTACTTGTCAGTGACTAAAGGCTTAACTTCGTGTTCCTTAACATATTGTTCACTGAAGGCTGCTTTGTGCGGTCCACCGAGATGTTGGCTTTTCTTCCTTTAATGTCCACGACAAAATACTTATCAAAACGCTTAAGTGCAGTGAACGGACCTTCGTATGGAGCTTGTAGTGGTTTACAAATCATAGAATTTTTGACGAAAACCTGACCCGACGAATAACGATTTTTTTCAATGAAAACCTTTCCACTATAATGATGAGCAGTTTGAGTAGGTCTTAACTCGTTCATAAATCTTTGCAGTTTAGCCACGAATTCTGTCTGAGGGGCTGGGAGGTCGCCATTTACTTTCGAAATGAATTCTCCAGGTAAACGTAAGCCAGCGCCATAAACCAGTTGTGAATGGCATGCGTTTATATCTTCCTTCACTACGACTCTAAATCCGAGAAGGATGAGAGGTAAGATATCAACCCAGTTGTCATTCTGATAACACTTAATGGCTGCTTTCAAAGATCTGTGAAACCTTTCAATAATGCCGTTAGAAACAGTGTGATAAGCTATTGTACGTAACATAATTGCTGAATTCCGAGGAGTTTAGACAGTTCTTTGAAAAAATAGCACTCAAAGTGTCGTCCCTGATCTGTGGTTACGAGTAATGGCACGCCAAATCTTGAAATCCAGGTGGAATAGAATGTGAAGGCTATGTTTTCGGCAGAAATATCCTGGAATGGGCAAACCTCAGCGTGAGAAACGATCGATTATTTTCAAACAGTGACGAAAACCTCTAGAGCATGGTAGTGGTTCGACAATGTTCATGTTGACGTGGTCGAAGCGAGACGAAGCAGCTAGATACTGCTGAATAGGTGCTTTGTTGTGGCGGTGAACTTTGCTTTTTTGGGAAGCAATGCAGGATTTGAAAAATTTTGACGTGCACGCTAACCGTATGCCTCGTTGGCGGCCACGCCGTGTCAAAATAGCTGCGAGTGAAGAGGGCTGGAGATATTTGAGAAAGTCGTCGGCTTGGGAGAGTGACTTTGACGTGCAGGCTGGTCGTTTGCCTCGTTGGCAGCCGCGTCGTGTCAAAGTGGTTGAGAGTGGCGAGCGATTTGACGAAGTCGTCAGTTTGAGAAGGTAACTTTGATCTGTAGGCTGACCTCATGTCTCGTTGGCGGCCGCGCCGTATCAAAGTGAATGTAAGTTATGTTGATTAAATCACATAAAAATTTGTTGTAATGGCCTGGATCCAGATTCGTCATCGGAATATGTCAACGGCATGTTCGTCTGCTGCGTGTTTAGATCACGTCGGTGTCACCAATATATAGCGGTTTATTTTATTACGCTCTGTTTATTTAGTTAAGTCGGAAAGTTGAAACTTCTTCTTAGAAAATAATTTTATTGTAATCCAGCTTACTGTGATTATTGAGAATATCGACGGCTACACACGTCTTGCCTAGTTCTATCCGTACCTTTCTGACTATATCAGGAACATTTCATTTTGGATTCCTCTTGATGATTCTAACAATATATCGCTTGTCAGCTGAGTTGAAAATTTTATTTGGTGCATTTCCGCTTATATTTTGAGTCCTATTTTGACGAACAAAGTGGTTAATGATGCTCAAATTAATATTAAGATACATTTTTAAGATACAGTGTTTTAAAAATTTAAAACAGTGTTGGATGAAATAAGCTGAGATCCACTGTATATGTGATTAAAAAGGTTTATTAATTAACACAGTAAAAACTTCATGTCGAAAACTTGTAACAGTATAACCCCAACAATTTTCGTCAGCCTTAAGATTCAAAAGATGATACTTTTGAAAAATTTAGCCAAAAGCAAAGCATTCTCTTGACAGAAGTTTCTAGTTATGGAGAACAATGTTACTTAGTGTCATGACCAAATATTTAAGCAAGCAATATCCACATCAATAACAAAGTAAAACGCTCTATTTTGTTTATTTTTCTTAAATTTAATTAAAAAATTCACTGTTCCCGATTCACTGTTATTTGAGACTACGAAAGGCCACCCGAAGAAACTGTCCATCTCAAGTAATGGTATGGGCAGCTGTGACTGCCGATGGACGCTCTCCAATCGTTTTTATAAAGGCTGGTGTTAAAGTCAATGCGACTTGTTATCCGGAAAATTGAAAATATTTTGAAGTTGCTTTAGAGCTGTTGGCATGCAAACACGTCTTACTTTCTCATAAAAATAGCCACATTTAAGATTCGACTTTCATAGAAAATGAACTTCATTTAACACTTTTCCTGGGTACAGCGCTAAAAATAATGCATTACTGTTAAGATTTTGGTACAAAAATGTCAAAATGAGATATAGTTTTCATTCTCGACATGACGTTTAACAGGTATACTAAAACATATGAGGGGTATATAAACAGACAAAAAAGGTGACTAAAGGAAAGATAATAAAAACACCGACTGTCAACATTAGCGAATTTTGATAGGTACCATATAGTTCATAATGTAAATATAAGATGTATTCTTTTGACATAAATGGTCCTTCTATTCTTTCTTAGAACAACTTCTGGTTGAAATAAGAAGGACACGAGAAGACACAAGAAATTGGAATTTTTTAACAGCTCCAGCTCTTCAGAAGGCAATACGAGGTCATCAATAAAGTGAAAGTAATTTTTGATGTGAATACACCCGTTTCGAGTGCGGTCCGATGGTTTGGTATATAATTCCTGTAATTGAACTGCATATAATGGCAAAAAGTTCTTAAATGCGGCGGAATTTAATATACTCACTTGCAGCGACAAAGAGCTGCAGCCATTATTGTTCATATTTATTTATTTATATTTTTTGTATTTTTTTTATTAAACTTTATTTATTTTAAAGCTTCTTTTTGCAAAGTAATTGCAGACATACAAAATCAGCTGATGAGACAACAATTAGAATTATTAATATAGAAATATTACAAAGTGAATAAGTGTTACAAAACGGTCAGCGGTATATCAATTGTTACCCAAAAGTTCATGCAATCGTGCAATGATGTACGCTAATTTAGCAATTCAGCTAAATATTTAAATTTAATTAGTAAATTTTAAATTTACTAGCAAAATTTTGATTTTGAACTTGAGTTCTGAATTTTGAATATTTGAAATTTACAGCTATTAAATTGTTTTAATTTTCTATATAATTCAAAAGGTATCGAACTATGAGTCTCAAAATATAATGAAGAAAGAGGTAGTAAACATACCATTGTACTTGAAGCCTGACGATAGCGTTGAAGATTAGCTATTACAAATATCTGCGATCATGGAATCCGAAAGATATATTAATAAGGATATGTCGAATGGGGCAGTATTATTACGACGTGCCGAGGAACGTTAACCTCATTAAACCTAACACAAATGAACAATGGGTATATTGCAACGTTCGATAGTGTTAGAGGCGTATCCTACATAGATCTCACCTTTGCCAGCCAGTCATTAGTAAGGTGTTCGTGATGGAAAGTAACAAACCACTACACCCACAGCGATCACCAGGCCATTTGCTTTTCCATATCGTTGAAAGAGAAGTTGATTTTAAGCAAATCACTGAGAAAAGCGCAGGAAACAGTCTGGAAAAGTAAGTATCTCGAGAAAGAGGTAATGGAATTCATGACCGAGAGCATGAGTTTCGGAAACGGGGATGCTTCTAAAAAATCTAATAACCTTTTGAAGGAACTATGCAACAGCTGTGATGCATCAATGCCCAGAAAATTCAGAAGTATTAGGCTCGCACCAAACTATTGATGGACGGAAGAAATAGTGAATACACCTATAGTATAAGGAAGTGGAGTATAAGTTTTGGTTTATTAGCAAATCTCTTACTTCGACTAATTTTACTTAAAATTTTACTTTGAAATGATTTTCCCGATTTCAAAAATGTAATATTTCATTCAAGTCCACAATCCACTCTAGGGATGCTTTTTAGTACATCCGTAATGAATATCCAATGCAATAAAGTGTTCTGTTTATTAAATATTTATGAAGTAATTTGTTTTATGCGTTCCACTGTAGCTTAGGCAGACTGTCGTACGTTTGTGCAGTTTTCTGTTGTCGCATTAGCTTAAATGAAATAAAATGAAATGAAATGAAATAAAAAAGAACTAAATAAAATTAATACGTATGCCACTTTTCCCACTAAATATTGGTGGCCCTTTTTGTTTTTTCATAAATAAACTCTCGAAACTAAAAAAATGAAAATAACAAAAAAAACAAAAAAAAAGAAAATTGTTCTCACTTTTCTGCAGAGTGGAAATAAATTTTCTTTCGTTTTTCTTCAGTTTATTTCTGTTCTGTTGAGTTGAAGAACGTGTTTTTTCTACTTTCAGTTGATTTTTTCCTTAATTTTGTTGCGTTTTTTATTTTTTATTATTTTTGAACGTTTTTCGAATTTAATTTACGTTCATTTGTTTCTTTATTTTCGGTTAAAAAAGAAAATTCGTTTTTTTTGCATAAAACTTAAGTTAAAGAATTTTATTTAAATATAAATGTTAAAAGTAAAATTTCGTTTAAACTGAAGTACAAATTGAGTTGGCCGTTGCCGATTTGACACAAAAAAAATTTTTAAATTTCATTTTGACTGTTTCGTAATCATATGAAAGTAAAAAAAAATTATTAAATTATAAATATTTTTTTGTGTAACAATTGGAGATCGTTTATATTTGTTGATAAGTTTATTGTTAAGCAGTTCACATTTCAAAAAAGTAAAATTTGTGCTTTGCAATATTTTCGGTTTTAATTATTTGATTATTCAAACGCAACGTAATTAGAAAACCTAGAAGGTAGGAAAGTATTATCATTATTATATGGCACTTACATATTATAATTGAAAAATATAAAGTATTTATTTTCAAGTAAATAATACAAAATCTAACATATGTACAACATATACATTGAGGACGGATTAAAATGATGACTTAAAAACAAAAGCGATTTAAATAGATGCGATAATTTTATATAATATAAAAAATCAATACATAAATATTTATTTATGCATCAAAATCAAAATCGGAATCAAAATCAAAAATAAATATATAAATATGAAATAAATTTGTTATTTTTCTTATATTAAATTATTGCTATTTTTGAAATTGTTTTTACTGATCACTGATTACCGAACTGAACCCTTCCAAGTGCTACAAATCTTTGATAAAAATTTTAAAAATCTTTCAACAGTTTTTGCTTTATTATCTATTATCTATTATTGTATATTACTTAATTTGAACAAATTTTTAAGAATTTTTGCCGCTTATTCTAAATAATATCGTGCCGGTGCTACTTATATATCGAACCACCTATACACTTGCACTCGACTTATTATTAGTGTTTTTAGTCTCATAGCATTTTAATTTATAAATTTTATTTTAATTAAATTTTTTTTAAACATAAAATTTAATTAAAATTGTTTTCAAATCGTTTAGAATATGGAGGCGAGAATATGTAAATATAGATGCATTTTGCAGCAGTATTACGCGTGCTTTCAAACACCAATTAACATGCTAAAAATACCAGAAGTCTGTAAATAGTTTTCAAAATTTTTGCTGCCCTCCTTTTCACATGCCTATCTATACATTCAAAATTTTTAGATAAAATTCGGCAAATCATGATGAATAAAAATTGCGCTAGTAATATCTCTGAAACAGCATATAAGAGCATTTTTTTATTAAAAAACAAATAATTTTTTATGTGCTGCAGAGTTTTTCCATAACAGGCACGATTCCCTTTAAAAATCAATTTTCAATATTATAAAATAATTATAACATTATAATAATTTTAAAAATATTTCAAAATAAAGCAAATAATCAATTAATAAATTGTAAACTCAATTAAAATTACACTCGATTGGAATTGAATTTGAAGTTAGCTTTTTTTATTTCTCAATGAATATCACGATGTGTAAAAGTAAATCTTATGATAATTAAGAAGTACATAGATTTATGTATATGTTTGTAAATTTAAACGTATCTATCCATAAATTTAAGAATAATATTGCATCGGCTTAAAGTAAATGTCATTAGACCCATGGAACACCATAACAAGCACAACACACTCCACTGGGGAGTTTAGAATATTCTCAAAGTATCCGATACCATCCGATACCGCTGAAAAATATATCATAGTGACTGAATTTCACTTGCGACACCAAACCAGAGGTATTTATCTGATACCACAGCGTCGACTATTGTGAGGTTGGCCCTTTTAATGGGAGTATTTTGGTGACTGTGATTAAAACCTAAAGCCACCCGCGTAAAATGATTGTACTCATTTACTCTCTCTCTCTCAAGGAGGAAACTATATCCAAGAGTATGATTTCAATTGATATCGACAGAATTAGTCGGGATTCTAGTGGAGGCATTTAACGTTGAAATCCAATACACCTGTTAAGCGCACCTTGGTGTTAAACCTTAACAGCAGGTAATTACGTTAAGAAACTAAGAATTCAGTAGACTGGATCTTCAAAACAGTGTTAGAAGAAGTAACCGATCATTAACTTCCGTGATATAAAGTACGTCTAACTAAGTGTTCTGCAGTTTATAACTTTTTGTGTTAAACTATTTAAACAGTGAATATTTTTGTGTTTACATGTTTATGGTTAACATCAACAGCGGAGAAGACTATATGAAAAGGTTGCTCGTATATGATGCGGATGATAAAAATAAATACTATAATGTAATAGAGGTGGTTCCTACAGGATCCTTGCTTGAATCTAAGCACTGAGGTTCGATATGTTTTAGTACACTTAAAATTGCTGTTACTGATGACACATTAATAGTTAGATATATAAATAGTTTTGCAGTAGTGACAATAGCTAAAAACCTTAAAACCTATTTATAGCGGGCCATCCAATTTCATGAGTTTAAAAATGGTGATAAATTGCTGAGCTGGGTCCAGTTATTGACAAAGTCGAAGTAGTGTTGGTAAATAAGAGAAACTTTGGGAAGGCAGTAATCGTAAAGGTGGTCGATTTATATTTGTTATATCAACGCTTCTTGATATATGGTACAGGGTAATAGACGTTACGCTTGCATTAAAGAAATATTTCAAAACCTTCAGTAAAATACAATAATGCATAACTGTGAAGATTCATGAAAAATAAGGCGATGTCTTTTATCATCTGTTTCAACTCTATCCTATTGTATACTAGTTTCTGAAAATACAATACAGGCATGTCATATATCATAGAATAAGGATATGATCTGAAATAACTTATTACATGCAAAGCACTAATAGATGGGAGTGAATGTTTAAATATCTTTGCGCTAGATTTTTTTTTTGACTGGTATCATAGTCAATCTATGGTTGCTATCGAGAAAACAGGAAAACAGAGTACAGAGACTAAGAATACAGACACTAAGAAGAATGGAAGAAGTTAACAAAGCATTATTTACACGAATGAGTCAGATGCATGTATGGTAGAGTAGATATGCGAGGTTAAGTTAATTCATTTGCTAAGTAGACTTGAATTTATCAAGCTTGATGCTACAGTAATGATCTGATTGAAAATAATTGATTATTATCGCAGTACGAGTAATGCAAGTGACAGATCGAAATGCAGTGCTCACGTTGGCGACGTGCTATCGAACATGACATATATGTGAAGGAGCATACTTATTTTTTTGTTCTTTACTTTATTTTATTTTATTTTATTTTATTTTATTTTATTTTTAATTCTATCTTTCTGATTAGAAATTGACAACTATGTAATCAAATCTTAAAAACTGGACATAATGCAATTAGCAGGTGCAAAATAAGAATAAAAAATTTATAATAAAATTAAATGAATTATATATATCAAAATTTGTAACAAAAGAAAGAAATATTTACCAAAATTACGTTAAGGTGGTATAAAGCTTTTTTTGCTTAAGCTGGATATTGTGGTATCAGAAAGGAACTGTTGCACCATTGGATTACTATGCTGGTGCGGTTTCACTTTATATTTTTGGCGCATGTTTTAATGACGTCTGCAACTGTTGGAATTCTGAGATCATTGTGGATATGTACACAGTTTTGAGATACTAAGGAGCGCCGGTTATTTGTGTGTATTTTTTCGATATTAGAAACATATGCTATATACCAGAGTTCTATGCAATAGGACCAGATAGTTTTTAAGATTGAATTGTATACCGGGGCTTTATTTTCCAGACTTAGCTTAGAGTTTTTATTAATAAGCCAATGAAGTTAAATTTTATGTGAGTTTTTTTGCTTTCAATGTGCTTAGTCCAAGTCAGCCTTCTGTCAAGATGAATGCCAAGATATTTCACATCATGGGACTAGGGTATAATGATGTGAATTAACTTAACAGGGGCCACGTTTCTTTTCGTATAGTAAACGTAACATGTACACTTTTCGTTTTGTTTACTTTTATGCGCCATTTTGCTATCCACTTCTCCAATAGACTTAAATGCCCTCATATGGTCACTGTTAGAACTGAGAATTGCAATGTCATCTGCGAAAGTAGCAACGACGAGATTTAAGAGTAGTGGGAGGTCAGCTGTGTAGATTATATACAGAAACGGCCTCAGTATGCTTCCTTGAGGAACACCAGCCATTATGTCTCTTTCTCTTGAAATAAAGGTATTATATTTTAATCTAAATTTTCTAAACGATATATATGAATACAATAGCTTATGCAAATTTTTAGGAAGGAAATATTTTATTTTATACATAAGACATTCGAGCCAAATCTTATCAAAAGCTTGGGCTACATCCAAGAAAACGGCGGTACAGTATTTTTTGTGCTGAAAGACAGTATGTATTTCTTTGGCAATTCTACGAACTTGCTCAATAGTGGCATGTGCTGATCAAAATCCAAATTGATGGTTTGAGAACACATTGTTTTGAGTTATTATTGGCATAACATTTCACAGCAGCATTTTTTCAAAAATGTTGGATAATTGGGGCAAAAGAGTTATTGGTCTATATGATGAGGCCAAAGTTAGGTCCTCTCCTGGTTGTGGAATCAGTTTCGAGCTATTCTTGTAAAGCACAATTTTTGTCAACAGATAGGGCTTTCCTAAGATCTTTTGAAGCTTTGTTTAGTTTCTGTTTTGAAGTGGGTGATCGGAATCTTTGCCATTCTTGCCTGGCTTGTCGCTTGCGGGAAATAAGATAATCAATGTGTGATTAAAATACTATATTTGACTGGACTGACCTTTTTGGTTGAGAGGCTTTAATCACAGCATTATTTAATGTCTTGGTGAAGTGATCAACTGCTTTACCAATTTCTTTGGGTGATCTTACTTTACTTATTTCTTCATTAATGATATTTCTATAATTTCTCCAGTTTAAAAGAGTTTTCTTATTCTGCACTTTTGAGTTTGTAATAAATTTTGTTCTAGTTAAAATAAC